CCTCGTGTCCTGTTCCTGGTCCCTCGGACTCCTCGTGTTCTGTCCCTGGTCCCTCGGACTCCCTCGTGGCCTGTTCCTGGTTTGTAGACCCCCTTGGGTTCCTCCTTGGCTCAACCTCCCTCGTGCTTGGATTTCCTTTGCCTGGTGCTTCTAATCCAGCCAGTGCCTGCCCTGCCAGCTGCTGGACTCTCCCTGGACTCTCTGGAGCTCTCTTGGAGGATTGGAACCCACCTCTGGCCCAAACTGTAAGAGATTCACAGAACATAAAATATCAGCTCCTAAGGTCTTCACCTCCATTCTGACTGTCCTCCTCTACCTCCTCCAGGAGCTGCAGAGAAGCTGCACCAGCCTTGTTTATTATTATCACCTGTAAATAAACACTGTTCTTTTTGTATCCACCTGAGTCTGTCTCGTTCCGGGTCTCATACAAATCTGGGTTCCCCGCGGTTATGACAGAAATGCTCCAGCCAAAGCAGACCCAGAGTGAGACCGGGAGCGAACAGACAACCGCCATCTCGCAGGTGGAACGGATCTCCAGACTGGAGACAATGTTGCAACAGGTTCTGACCCAGCAACGTTCGGCCCAGTCCAACATGCAGGAACTTGGAGGTATGATTTATTCCCTCAAACAACAACTTCTACCTCCTCTTCCTCCAGATCTGACCGACTCACCTGGCCCCAGCGTCCCTCGTGAGGCACCTGTCGCAACCTCCCATGGTCAGCAGCTGCTCGTCAAACCGTCTGAACTGTTCGCGGGAGATCCCGACCAATGTGGGGGTTTTCTGCTGCAGTGCAGACTCGCTTTTGAAGGAGCCCCGTCTCTCTACCACACAGACTCTGCGAAGATTATTTATTTTATTAACCTTCTCAAAGGTAACGCCCTTCGCTGGGCTAATTCTTTCATGCAGTCCCACGTGAATCCCCCGGCTACTTACCCCCAACTCTTGAAGGAGTTTCGACGAATCTTCGATCGCCCCCTGCAGGCTTCCAACGCAGTTAAACGTCTCCTGGGGTTACGTCAAGGCCGCCGTCCTGTTTCTGAGTACGCCCTGGAGTTCCGGATCCTGGCGACTCAAACGAGGTGGGACGAACTTGCTCTCCAAGGTGCGTTTCTGAATTATCTCTCTGATCAGATAAAAGACCAAATCGCTGCACGAGACGAACCGGAAGGGTTCGACCAACTCATCAAAATGGTCATTTCCATTGATGACCGCTTCCAGGAGCGGAGGCGAGAACGGGACTACAACTCCCAGAAATCTTCCACTTCCGGGTTCGCGGCCCCTTCAGGTGAACCTCGTTATTTTAAGACAGCGAAAGAAAGTTGTCAAATGCAAACGTCCCCTGTTATTAATCCTTCTCTGTCTCCTCTGACCAGACTTCCCGTGCCCCCCGAGCCAGAACCCATGCAGATTGGGCGAACATGGTTGACTTTTGAAGAGCGAGAGCGCCGTAGAAACGCTAACCTCTGCATTTGCTGTGGTAACCCCGGTCATTATTTACCTCTCTGCCCATTTCGGGGAAACGAGCAAGCCCACCAGTAAAGTGGGAGATACTGGTGGGTAACTCAGCTCTTACCTCCCCATTTAAACCCCTCTTGCCCACAGTGATTCAAATAAACAGTTCTCGTGTCCCCTTATTGGCTCTGGTTGACTCAGGCGCCGAACAGAACCTCATCAGTTCGGACCTGGTCAACAAATATTCTTTACCCACTCGAGAAATCACTCCTATTTCCGTTTCCGGTGTTACTGGTAAAACGTTGGCACTCATCCAACGTAAAACCATCGAGCTTCACGTAATCATCTCAGGCAACCACCATGCGATGACCGATTTCTTTGTATTCGATTCCTCCGTGTCTCAGATTATTTTAGGTTTCCCTTGGCTTAAGACGCACAACCCAGACATTAATTGGGAACTAGGGCGAGTAGAGAAGTGGAGCAACAAGTGCCTTAAGAACTGTTTACGC